TCTCGTCTTCAACTCTTACTTTGTCAGAAGCCGTGGCTGCTCAATGACAGAAATCTGATTTCCCGTTTGGAAATAGAAACTTTGTTTATTTGGTCTGTTTTCTTCAGAACTACATGTACATGCAACCCTTAGTGGGAGTGTGGCCTTGTGGTTAGGATTTGTGACTCTTGATCAGAGGGTCAGGGTTCGAATCCAGCTGCTGGTCATCTGTTGTGTCCATGGGCAAGCCACTTCAGCCCCACTTGCCTCTCTCCACCCAGGAGTACAAATGGGTACCAGCATTAGCTGAGGAGTAACCTGCGATGGACTAGCATCCCATCCAGGGGGGAGTAGAAATATTCTCAGTCGTTTCATGCTACTGAAACCGGAGATAAACGCCGGCCTGATGGGCCACATTGGCTCAGACTTTACTTACTTTACTTTGCATGCAACCCTACCCCAAACCACCACAAACTGCATGAGACTCTCAAAACTTATATTATGAAATATTTGTTTGGTCAAACTTTTTAACCCATTGATGTATCAGGGCTATTTATAGACGTGACTGAAATGACTCAATCCCGACAACTGCTAATACTGGCGTTGACAGCCGGCCGATAATTGGGTAGGCTCAGTCAACTTCCTAATCCCAACCTTTCCTTTTTCATTTTTCCCCCTTTTTTTTTTACTTAGAGAGAAGTTACGAAATCCGTTTTTCATGGACACAGGAAATCGTTTAGCTTACTGCACAAGCCCAATAAAAAGTATTAAGTACTTTTTTTTCTTGAGCATACGTAAATTAGTGGACACAGAAAAATGCAGCACTAATTCCTGTGTTAGTGAAAACCTTTAAAATTTACTTCTTGCACCAAATAATTTCTACTTTTCAAAAGTAATTTTTAACTGATACGGTAAATTCACAGCCTACTTTCCCAGTGGCAAACTTTTAGAATTTTTTTTTAACAAAATTTAGCAAAGCGAGACAGAAATTTTTAAGATACCGGTACAGGAACATGAGTAGCCTACTGCAGTTAATGAAACTGCAGTTAATGAAATCGGAACTCCGATTTTTGTCACAAACGCAAAGAACGAACTTGACTCGCAATTGACAGACGCCGGGAAAAAAATGCAGCCAACTCCACCAGGGCAATCTTCTGGTTGAGATGACAGAAAAAAAGTCTTTCTTTTTCACAGACATTTAAATGAAAATACTTGGGGTCACTCTTTTTTTAATGCAAAGAGGGAAAAATAGAATTCCTTTTCAATGCCGTGTTTTTTGCGTAAGTGAAAACTTACACAACGCACATTCATGTATGTATATTAACTTGTTTGACGTGTGTGGTTGTGTAAGATTCAAGAAGAATTCATTTTCAATGTCGTGTTTTTTGCGTAAGTGCAAACTTACACAACGCACATTCATGTACGTATATTAACTTGTTTGACGTATGTGGTTGTGTAAGATTCAAGAAGAATTCATTTTCAATGCCGTGTTTTTGCGTAAGTACAAACTTACACAACGCACATTCATGTACATGTACGTATAGGCCTATTAACTTGTTTGACGTATGTTGGTGTGTAAGATTCAAGAAGAAGCTTAGGGCAGGGACGTTTGTAAACCATATATCAGAGCCATAAATACACATGTGCATGTCTTCATTAACCATGTTAACCTTTGTTTCAGACCTTGTGGTAAACCAGTACGTGTATCTGGATCAACATTACAAAACTTATTCAACATGTTTTTGTGTGATTCCAAAGAAACTTGTGATTAAAGGGAATTGACATCTCTGGCTTTTGCTGTAATTTTCAAAAATGAACTATTTTGAGGGGTTAGTATAACAGATCAAATATTGTTACACTGACATGTTTGAAGTTTTGTGTTTCGAAAATACTGGAAAAACCAAGAAAAAAACAAAAATGTTCAAGTAGTCTGGTTCCCTGACTGCACTTCAGATAAAATGGATCAATTTATAGATGCCGGAAAATTGTAAGGTAATGGAACCAGTCTAACTGGCCTGCACCCGTTCATGAACTTGTAACCAATAGCAAACAAAATTTTGACTGAAAAAAAAGTGGTAAATTTGGAGCAGTAGTTGAAAAATAGTTAGGTTTCTCCAACGGTGGTCAGCCGACCACCGTTGGAAATTTATACAAAATACCACTTTTCTTGAAAATGACTTCACACATGGTGCCATAATTTTACAGGATGCTTTACACTGTCATTTACCAACATCCTAGTAAGGTATTTCATAAAAAAATTGGTAGTTTTGTTTTTCAATGTTTGCAAATGTTGTATATTCCCTTTAAGCCTTTTCCTTTCTTTTTTTTCGTTATCAGAAAGTCGCCATTTTCAAGGAATTTTTACTAGTTGATTTTCGACCTACGGCTCGTACATTTGCTTGCATCTTGTAAAACCCTGTCTCAAGCTGACACGAACCATACCTTTTAAAAATCCCTGCCGATAGTTGTCTCCGAAAATCGATCTTTCTAAACTACATTTTGTAAGTCAAAACTATTCTTGTGTCTTTTCTCCAAATTTACGTATTTTGTTTAGGTTTGAACTTCTTCTAAAGTCACAGACAAAAATCAAGGTTTATGAAATCCATGAAATGTAGGACCCCAAATTTTTGGATCCACCGTGTTGTCCAAGCCCCCAGAGCTGATCAATCCAAAAGCAAAACCAGCTTTTCCCTTATGCTTCAGTTTCTATTTTTATTCCGAACTTCTCTTAACCTTTTATAATGGGGATGGGGTTAAAACCCAGGAAGGATTAGATTCATAAATTTTCAGGAACGTGATCAGTGAGGAAGTTTGGAATGGCGTGCAGTTTCTTGATGCTCTACGCCCAGTTGACGTCCCACTTGCTCGGGCAAAAAACCCGAGGTCAATCACGTTCATATTTTTCCCCCAATAGCAAGGCCGGTACCCTGTCTTCCGTCTGTGTGGTAACTACACATAATTGCAGAATCTTTAGAATCAAGAGCTGTGTGAAGTAATTTCCAGTAGCTCAGCTTTACTGTCCAAATTCTATCCAAATCCTACCTATTCAGGCGTTAGATTTTGGTTGGATTGGGTAGTGAAACTTGCCGTATTAGAATTTCATGGATTCAGGTTGTACATTGTACATTCCGTACATTTGGGACTGTTGTTAGAAATCTCAACAAGGCATTATTTTAAGATACATACAGCGGAACGTCGCTATACCGAACACCTCTATACCAAACATTCGGCTATACCGAACATCAGCCTTGGCTCCCAATTCTTGTGTACAAAACGTACCGAACATTGTTGCTGGAAATGTCATCAGAAGAGCGACAAATGGCTGTTATTAAAAACTGTGTAATTACATGATTCAATAGTCGCACGCCTTCGAAGTCATCTTCTAGTAACTACATGTACCAGGGCGTACTTGGTGAAGTTCTGCTACGGAATTGAAAATATTAATGGACAAGTTTGGCGACTCCGCGCGTGGTTTGTAAATGCAACTTCACAACAACGAGTAAAAGAGGGCGCCACTAATGTGTGAAATCGTTATACAGAATTACGAACAATTTCTGTGGATCCCACAATGTTCATTATAGCGACGTTCCACTGTACATATGTATATTCATTTATTTCTATTAAAGAAGATTCTTTAAAGCAGTTAAGTACGGTACTGCAAACAGACTGGGGTGGCCTTACAAAAAAATGTTGCAACCTGACGCCACTTTTTTCTTCATATCATCTTAGTGAAGGTCAGTCATTGCAAAAATGATAAGACATGAATCTGGGACCGAGAAACATGTCTAATTTTGTTAGGAAATACTGGTACATAGAAAATTCTCTTGACTCTCCATAGACTTTGTACACAACCACTGAAGTGGCGTCAGGTTGCAACATTTTTTCCTGGCCTTATTTAAGTACATGTACAAACTGTAAAAGGAAAAGTTTTCAAGGAGACTTTTGAAAAATCTTTGTAAGAATTATCACTCGTGCACAATGCACTTGTCTTTAAGGACGGTTTTGACAAAAACGTTTGCATCTTTCAACAATGATAAGCACAAAGTCTAGACAGGAGAATTGTTTCAATTTTATCACAAAGAGGGTAATTATTACCATGGCAACCGTCAAAAAGCTTAACAAAGGCTAATTCCGTTTTCTTTATGGAAAAGCGTCTTGGGTCTTGGGTAAATAAAAAATAGTAAAATAAGATTTAAGGCTGTTGCTGATAATCATTGTTTTATGTACATGTATGGGTGCAAATTGAAAGTCTAGACTACAGAATCACAATGCTGTTATCTCAAAGCAAAAGAATCAATTTGACTTAAGTTTTTGAACAAAAGTATATTGACTACCGGTAGATGCTAAGCACTTCCAGAATCCCCCCCCCCCCCTCCTCAAAGCCCGGTTTGGAAGTAATACAAACATTTTGAACTTGTTCTTAAGAAAGTCAGTTATTTTTAAAAAAATTTTCCCCACCTTCATATTTTTCTTCCCTTTTCAAAATCAAAGATGGTTGCAAATGTTTGAGAGATAATTTCTCAATTTTCATCTTTGATCATAGTTGTAAATTAGCAGCAGCTTTTAATATAACTTTCAATTCTTTTTGTTGGCAGAGTTTCCATTTCTTTACTAATAATTAGAAGAAGAAGAAGAAGGAGAACACATCCACAAATATTGATGCTCAAAGCGTTACATCATTATTACCCTGTTCATTGGGCTAAGGAAACATTCCAAAGGCAATCTCCGCCATTTCGGCTCAACGCAGCTAAAATAAATCACAATAACCATCTCTGCCCTTACAGGTACCCATTTTCTCCTGGGTGGGGAGAAGCAATGAGTGACAAAGTGCCTTGCCCAAGGGCACACACGCCGTAACCCCAGGCTGGACTCGAACCCACAACCTGCAGAATTACCCACAGACTACAAGTTCAATGCTTCAGACGACAAGGCCACGACACGGAACTACCGGTAACTTTTTCCAGAAAAGACAAGAAATAAAGGAAGAAATCCGAAGTGTAAATTACAATCTCATCTCTTACCCGAGTTGACGGAGTCGGCCACGCCCGACGACGCATCCTTGTATTTGGACAGCAGCTTCTCGCTGCTCAGACCCTCCGGTAGCGTCCTGCTCCGCGACCGGCGAGTCCCACGCTTTGAGACGCCGCGGCTGTCCGTGTACGTGATGTTGGAGTGCTGGAACAACAAGCAACGAAACACGGAAAAAGCGTAAATGTTAAGCATCTTCAAACTAATTCAGAAGCCTGTTGTACTGACAAAGTTTCAAAATTTGAAACTTAAGCAGGGCATGTGAAACACCGATAGTTGATACAAATTGGAGAAGAAATTTGGTTAAGAAATTTGGCTTAGTCTTTCTTCGTGTACATATAATTTTAACTGTCTGAATTTCAGCCACTTGTACAGGATGCATGAGTGGGTGGGTTTAATAAATAGTTATTAGAATTTGCCCCCGCTATGTTGTGCAAGTCCGAGGTTTCACAATCTGCGGGGAGTTTTGTGAAATCGGTCATTGTAAGTCCACTGATGTAAGACCCCAAAAATAAAACAATCTAGTATATATGTAGATGTATGTACAATATACTGGTACGTGTACTATTATTAATCCAAGAAAATTCCCCCCCCCTTGTACCACCACAAGTCAGCCCCTTTGTTGGACCCAAAATTACTTCTACAAAACAAATGTACTAAATAGCACCCCCCCCCCCCCGGTACCACCCTAACTCCACCCCATTGTTGGACCCTAGATTACATGTACATTACAAGATACTATGAACTATTACTGATACAAGAAAAATTAGCCAACCCCCTTGTATCAAACTAACCCCGCCCCTTTTTAGACAGTCGATTTTCTTTCTATCCCCTCAAACTATCCTAAAGCTCAAAAGCTGAGTAACCACAAATTACCCCATCCAGCCCACATTGAACTGGAGGATGCAGAAATATGTCAATATTTTTGTCCCGTCTGCAAACAATGGTTTTAAGGTATGCGTCGTCACCGCGTGATGTTAACCATGCGCGGCCGCCCTGGGCGGTTTGCGTAGCAGACGTCCGGTTCTTGGTTCGAATGCCATCCATGCGTGACTATCTGTAATATGACCCCTCGAGGGGAGACAGGATTTGTCACAAATATATATACCCTCCCCCAACCCTTGGAGTGAATGGAGTGTTCCAAAAGTTTGATACATGTACGTACATAGGTACTTGGATTTTCTATGAACATGTACACCTGTACATGTACAAGGTTTTTGAAACCCTGACTTCCTTCCAGCTGCGCCTCGACTGCTCCAAAAGTCTGGTACTGTACTTGGACTTTCTACATACATATGTATGCACATGCATGTAGGTTTTTGAAACTTCGACTTTCGTCCAACTTTGGCTCATAAGGCTGTTCCAAACGTTGTGTACAAATTTGGACCGTCTACATGAACGTATGTACATGTACCAGTAGGAGGTTTTTGAAACCTCAGGTTCCTACCAGCTTTGGCTTGGATTGTTCCAAAAGTTGATACAAATTTCTAAGGAAATAAATTTAGGAGGTTTTGAAACATCGGTTTCCTTCCAGCTTTGGCTTGGACTATTCCAAACATTTGGTACTTGCACTCTACGACATTAGGATGTTTCTAAAACTGCGGTTTGTTTATGTGGGGTTCGGTTCTCTTCTAATTTTGGCTGTGGCTGTTCCAAAAGTTTTGTACTTGCTTTTATGAAATTACATGTACATGCAGGAGGCCTTTGAAACCTCTAGTTACTATCAGCTTTGGCTCGGACTTGGCCAAAAGTTTGGTACATAATTTTACATATTTCTATGGACATAAACGTAGGAGGTGTTGGAAACATCGGTTTCCTTCCAGCTTTGGCTTGGACTGTTCCATATGTTTGGTACTTGCACTATACGACATTAGGGTGTTTTTGAAGCTGTAGTTATGTTTATGTGGGATGTTTGAACACATTTTACACTGCAGGCCTGCACCATGACAAAAATCTTCCATTTCAATCCCGGAGGGGGGGGGGGGGGGATGGGGGGGAGAATCACACGCATGCACCTGACCTGAAAGGAGGGGGTGAATAAACCTGTCCGTATTTTACAGGCCTCCTGGAGATAGGGAAGTTGCCTTAAACCAACCATTACGGACAGACAAATTGCTTATAATACTAGCCGGAGATGCAGGACAGGTGCGCTGGCTGGTCAATTAACTCGCTACGATTTGTCCCGGCCCGTTTACATTTACCGTACGTCCTATCCGTGCCTTTGCCAGGGAGATCCTTTCCTGGAAATGATTTATGGGTCTTTTGCATTTCAATTGGTGGATATTTAATACGTTTAGCGTGTTTTCTTTTGGGGTTTGGGTTCATTAAAAATTTGGGTTTATTGAATTAGTCGAGGGTGGGATAAATTTAGACAAAGAATTACCCGTTAGGTACCATCGGGGCCAATTTCATACAGCTGCTTAAGCAGAAAATTTGCTTAAGCACAAAAACGTCTTGCTTAATAAAATCAGGTTACCGGCCAAAACTCCATGCGATTGTTATGCTAAGTAAACAACAGCTAAATACCAGTCAAAAGCAATGTACATCACATGGAGTTTTGGCCGGTAACCTAATTTTACTAAGCAATGTTTTTTCGTGCTTAAGCAAATTTTCTGCTTAAGCAGCTGTATGAAATTGGGCCTGTACTGTACACAATGTAGGCAGAAATTCTGTGCTAAAGCAAATTAAACAATGATAATGACAATGATTTTCAAGTTCGGGCAGGAGTTCAGTTGGTTGTTCGGTCGGTTTGTCTGTCTGTCTGTCCCCAGAAAATTGACCAAAAGTATGGTGTTCCATATGTGCTATCAGCGTCGCATTTTGGCGTCGCATTTTTCAGCTCTGGCAGGGATCATTTTGATCAATTTCATGCAAGACTGTTAGGCCAAAAAAAAAAGTTTCCGGTTTCTGGTATGCGCGCGCGTCGCCGTAGCCATGCACGTCGGCAAAATGAAAAAGTTTTTTTTTCAATGAAAGATGATGTCTCAAAACCGCCAAACTCACTGGTTTGACTGGAATCCTGCTGCTGCACAATTTTAACATGTTTTTAGATTGGGTTATGGTCGAGAATAAGCTTTATGTGGCCTCTCTGGACTCCCATATATTTGCACTAAGCTTAGTCGGGCACCATTTGCAGTCATCAGCCGACATTTGAAGCAAAAGAGTCAGGTAAAAAAAAAAAAGCCGCGTCGCCGCACCACTTTTTGGGCAAGCTCCATACCAGAAACCGGAGACTTTTTTTTGTTGGCCTTATGCAAGACTTCTTGCAGCACGGCCAGAGCTTATTGGGCACTCACACTTTTATCTATCCTACTAGGGAGTACCAATTGCCACTACCTATTTTCTACTAGCTTAGGGGTTCCTGATAACCGTCATCCTATTTGTTGATGTTTCCCGAGAATTGCGAGAAATGAAAAAATAGTATAGAAGTAGTACCCTAAGGGGTTTCATGATGCCTATTTTCATTCTCCGAGGGGGTTCTTGTTAACAGGAGATTTCAGGGGTTTCTCTAACCACTTCCTATTGTTAAAGGGAATATACATCATTTGCTTTTGCTGTTATTTTCAGAAATGGATGGAATTGGGGGGTTGGAAATATATAGCAAATATAGTTACACTGCCTGTTTTTAGGTTTTGGGTTCGAAAATGCTATAAAACCAAGAAAAACAATCATTTTCCTGTAGTCTGGTTCCCTGACTCCATATAAGAAGAAACAGAGCAGTTTACATACATTGAGGAATTGTAAGGTCAGGGAACCAGTCTAGCTGGCTTGTACCCGTTCATAGGTGTGTAATCGATTGCAAACAAGTGCGATGGTCAATTGGGGCCAGTATTTGAAAAAAAAGCCAGTTTTTTCCAACGCTGGTCGGCCGACCAGCATTGGAAATTGATACAAAAATACCACTTTTCTTGAAAATGACAGTATACCAGGTGCCATGATTTTACAGGATGCTTTACACTGTCCGTTCACTAACAGTCCAGCAAGGTATTTCAAAATGAGTTGGTAGTTTTATTTTTTGATGTTTGCAAATGTTGTATTTTCCCTTTAAGCTCTGGCAGGAGCTTCTTACATGTCACTTGGTGGTTGGTTGATAGGTCCGGAAAATTGACCAAAAGGATGGCGTTTCATTTTTTTGGCGTTGCATTTTTTAGCTCTGGCAGGGATCATTTTGATCGATTTCATGCAAGACTTTCATGCAAGACTTCTTGTAACACGGCCAGAGCTTATTGTGCACTCGCACTTGTTATATGCACAAGTCGTCGATTATGAAGCCAGAAATTGCCTCTTTGGGGCAAACATTTGGTGTTGTGACCCCGTCTATCACTGGGACTTTTGATCTAGATTCTTTTAAAAAGTACTGACTTCCCTTGTTGCTAGAAGGGATCCTAGTCTTACCCTCACCCTACCCCACCCCACCCACCCAAAATTATCACCCCTCCTGTCCCAGATCTGGCTATTAAAAATAACAGTCGACAAGGTTGCCTTAAAAAAAGGGGAGAAAGCGGAGGTTTTGCATGCACAAACAGGATGTGCAGTGTTTCTGTAAGAGCTGTGAACTGGAGCAAAGTGTGTCGGGATGTGTGATATAAAAAGGTGTCACTGAGAAGAACTTCAATGTTCTCGTTTGAGCTCTAGTCTCTTTCCCCTCTATTCTCAAACTTCTTTTAAGAAAAAGCGCTATGTGGACGTGTATGCCAATTCTATACTTATATGGTGAGCTAATTTATTGACTGATATATTATTTTTACTTTATGTTATTACGACAATTACTTTTTTGGTTAAAGTTTTCAGATTAATTAACAAAATAATATTTTCACTCAATTCTCAGAAAATGCATGAAATTTCACCTTTTTTTATCAGCCACTGAAAGTAGAAACCAGAGCAAACAATTTCTTTGTTAGATGAAAGTGTTTGAAAAAAAGAAAGACATTAGTTGAGTAAAAACTCATCAATCTTTCCAATCCAAAAACATCCCACAAAAACATTTTCTCCCAAGCTTAAGTCAGATTAAGTAAATCTTCACTCTGGGGAAGTAAGATAGTGATTTTTCTAATTGCTTTTAATACTTTGAAGAAACGCCAAAATAAAAACAATAAAATGAAAGGGGGAAAAAACATGAGAGCCTTTCTTGACAACTGACAGCGAAC